GAAGTTACTTTACATAAATGCACAGTCTTTTGTTTGGAAAGTGAGGAATATTATGAAGCATCCTAAGAAGAAATGCTGTCTAATCTGTCCGTTGCCTAAGGAAACTCCAGGGCCATGTTAAGAATGACAGTACTGAATCAGATAAAGAAATGTTTGTCTATCTGTGTTCTTCTTCTAAGAGCAGCAAGTTGCAGATACAAAGAGAGAGTGTAATTTCTCAAAGTATCCCCTTTCTGTTCCGGAAGCCTGGAGCTGTGTCCACTTTTTCACAGCCCTTGGTGTTCAAAAATTGTTCAGTGAATTTTTGTATTTGCCTTTTTTTTCTGGAAACCACTTACACTTGAGAACTCTGCAACAGCAGTCTGTGCTAACATGAAGTACTTACTTAATTTTGCTTTACACAAGTCTGCCTGAACATAGTAACTCTGTGGTGGTTCAAATAATGACTTTGCTAATTTTCTCTTTACGCTCAGCTAGTTTTAAGACCTGTACCTTGGTGTGATGGAGCCACTGCCAGGTTGGCACGGAGCCCCTGTTTGGCAGGAGTGCCCTCTCTGCAGACCGAGGTATATCTGCCTTGATAGTCTGCTAAATTGCAGTGGGACCCATCAGCACATCTGACTTTACTTTCTGTTGTGCTGGACAGTGTACAAACATCAGAAGTATGACATGATCTTAATTTTGTTGCTGTGGGACTGCTGGCATGAGTATGCGTGACTCTTGCTCAATTGAACCTTTTGTTCAGGGGCATGGCAGTGTGGGTTTGCAGACAGCTACAGTAAATCCAAAACCAGGGACTGTCGTCTTGGTGGTCTGGGCATCCTCAGTCTGGCCGTGCTCCCAGGAGCTTCCGAGAAGCTGTGCTGCCACTTGTAGCCTTTCTTCATCTTGTAAACTTCCAGAGACTGCTGAATTAGAAGAAGCTGAAGCCCTCAGGGGATTTCCAGACTTCTCCAGAAAGCTGCTCTGTTTCCTCTAATGCTAGACCCCTTTCTTCACAATGAGGGAGAAGGGAAGTATAAATGATACTTCATTATTTGTACATTCAAGTCTGCCTTGTCCTTTCTCTAAGCACTATTTACTTGTAAGATTACCCTGAATGACTGACTGGATAACCTTTGCTGAAAAAACTAGGATGAGAGAAGCAGCAGTAGAGTGGTAGCAACATGCTGGTCTTTCTAATAATGCTGTCTCAAAAATACTCTCCTGCACTAAACTGCAGGTGGGAACAGTGGCTCTTGGAGCCAAAGAGGTGATTCAAGCATGTGTACCAACAGCAGAGCTGCTGTAGTATGTCTAGCTGATTCTCTGATTAAAAGATGAGATTTAATGTTTTCTTAGATAACTGAAATGCTTATCGTGGTAGCACAAACAGCAGCAAACATTGTATGTCATAGTTTAAGGAGTGCAACTTGAAAGGCTTGGTTATAGATTGAAAAATAAATCTAGATTGTGCTGGTTACTGATATGTAGAGATAACACCGTCCATGAGTGGACTTTGGCTATTAAGGCGATGCAAGCACGTCACATTTTGAGTCGTGCAACATGGGTTTGCAAAAGGACACTGTAATCTGACCTCTAATGATGGTGTGTTTGACTTTATGAAATGCTAATGCTTTAAAGGACCCTGCTTCAGATCCTTCTAGCACTCTTGCTAGTCACTTGATTAAATCATCCTTGGTTGCAGAGGCTGAATGACACAGAAAACAGCACATGCAAAAAGTCAGTGAGGGCTAATGCTCTGCTAGCTTCTAAAAATACTACAATAGCTGGATGGTACAGTAAGTTAAGTAACATGTTTTAATTTCATACTGAGAGCATTTATTGGAAGAGGAGGGAGGGCTGGGGATTAAACTATGAAGCAAACAAATGACTTGCTTAGAGGCTGCTTTCAGCTGCAGCAGGGGGGATGGTGATGGACCAAAGCAGGTGCCCACCTTGCTGAGGGCCATGGCCTCAGCCCTGAGCTAGGGCCCGACAACAAGGCTGCTGGCAGAGAGTAATTATATAACTTTATTTCCTGCCCCCCTCCTCTTTCTTCTTTTTCCCTTGTTCCAGCATGTGATCTCCACTGCATCTGGCCGAGTGCCAGTGTTTGTCTGTGCACAGTGGACACAAACAGTTTCTGGAGGGTCATGTGAAACTACCCCTGGCTCTTTAAACCTCACCACCCTTACCTTTTCCCCTCAACTGCTCCATTGCTGTAACAGGTGTGGCTTTGTTTATGCACGGCCTGTCACTTTGCTTTAGCACCTGGGTTTTGCTGGCCCACAGTGTCCAGAGGAAACCTTTGCCTCCCTGTTTTGCTCAAGCTGCAGGAGGGGCAGGCATCTGCACCGAGTGAAACAGGCAGGGTCATCAGCTTTATAAGAGCAGCACCAGCAGTCATTAGTCACTGTAACCTCTGCTTCTGAATACTTTGATCTACCTTACTATGGCTTTGGCTTAACTTTGTGAGTAAGGCCTGTGGTTCTCAGCATCCTCTGGTACAAGATGTAAGGTGATTCCAGAGAGGGCATGTCCTATTCCTGTAAATTTTTGGTAATTGCTAGTTAAAAAAAAAAAAAGTCTGGTTTAATTGAAGAGTTACGGGCCTGGAGCCAGGTGAAACTTTGAGATAAGGTCTCTCAGTTAAGTGTTTGTGTGTTACTGCTGTGGGAAACCCAAGCATAAAATCATGCATCCTGGCCCCATTTCACCTTTGTTACTACATAGTACTTTGTGAATCTTGCCTTCCAGATGGGATTTTTATATGTTGTGGCAACTGAAAACACATTTAGGTAAGTGATAAATAGCTTATAGCTAGTTTTCTTGTTCCAACTTTTATTTCTCGTGGGATGCCCTGTTGCTCTTCCCAGCCAAGAGGCAATGTGTCACTGTATCCATGTGTTAGACATTGTCACTTCTTCCTGGGAAGTGGAACTAATACTGCTAAACTGCATCTAGAAAGTTTTAGCTACCCCATAAAAATTGATCATGTTGAATTTCATGGAGGGAAATGCACAGAGAAAAGCTGTGGGCTGGGGAAGGATGTTCTGCTGAGTTATCTGTGCCTGTGATGCTTTAGCCTTTGTACTGAGAGCAGTCAGCTTCAGCTTTAAGTTTTGACTGAAACTTTTCTTAGATAAGTGTCTTCTCCCTGCTGTTGCCCTTGGCACCTTGGAAAAATTATAACTGAACTTTCTGGTGAACAGATTCATAATTTTGTATGTTCTTTCTGCAGTTTCCTTCTTACACTACCAGTCCCAAATTTCCTGCCTCAAATTTAAAATAGAGATGATGTGGGTCAGGTCAGTGATGTCTGCGTGGTGTCCCAAAGAAAATGAGATAAATCCAGTGAAAATGACTAGTGTTCCAAAAGTACAAATAATGTTAGAATGTGATGCCCTATGGTTGCAAGGGATTTGATGAAAACAGGAGCCTGTGAGATGCTTGTTCCTAGTAAGTGTTCAGTTAGCTCCAGTGAAAGAGCTAACAAATACTGCTGTGTTTCAAGAAAGTAAGAATAAAGACAGTTGTGCTGACAGAAGGTCTGATGTGGTTTGGGTTTTTTTTTTTGGTTCCTGAGAAGCAATAACAAAACCTCATGAGATAAGCAAGATGTGGCCCATGACACAACAGCCAGTGTTGTGAATATCAGTGCAAAGAATGTAAAGAGCTATAAGGGGAGATAGATAGTATGGAGGCAGAAATTTGAGTGATTGCAGTTGTATCTGTCATAGATAGTTGGATGTCATTTGTATCTTATCATGCAGAGTTTACTCATGAAAACCTTCCTTAGTCATACCACTGTTGTCAGTTTCTGTCTTATAAATGCCTGTGGGCTCCTGAACTGATCCCTGATAGTAATGACACTTGAGAGCAGTGCTTGAGTACTTGAATCAAAGCTCAAGCTTTTGTGAGACAAGTCTCTGTGATGAAGATATAATTTATTTCACATACTTTATAACTATATGCAGTTCTCATCCCCAAACACTACATCCAGTATGATTTTGAACATTAGCTTATATTTTGTGAGCGCTGGACTGAGGGCTTATGGTTGCACATAGTTGAATTGCCTCTCACTGTTAATTACAGTGCCTTAATTACAATGTCACTTACCATAAAGGTGCTCCCTATGTTTTGACATAAAAGCAAGTCATGCTATTGTGTATTTAACCCACACTTTGGGCACAGTGGCATCATGTATATAGTTATGTGCATCACTGTGGCAGTTTATGCTTGGTGATATAGCAATAACTTTGTGCACTTTTCCACACCCACGCTTAACTGCAAAGGTGTATGCAAAGGTATGCCAGTTTTGTAAAACCACGCACCTACTCTAAATCTCCTTCTCACCCTTCTAAAATGTGACTTATCTTGCTTCTCCTATTGTCTTGTTTATATTTCAATTTTCCTGGTTCTCCTGGTTGTCTTCTTTGGCAAGACCTGTGAGAAACCGTGGTATTTTAGATTTAGCCAAATTCATTTTGTGTTAAACTTTCTGAAACTTGATCTGTGAGAATTCCAGTATGAAAAAAAATAACAGGTTGGCATCCAGAGCCATGGAAGTTTATCTGAACTGAACTTCTGATTTCTCTTGAGGTTTAGTAGTTCACTACTAAATCTGTTTGAGTCCGGTTAATTAGTTACAAAGCCATAAGCCACAGACTTGGAATTAAAGAAAACAAAGCCCCAAGCCTCCGCATAATTTGGTGCAAGAAGAAACTTTTGTTAAACTAGGACGTGCCTTTACTGTTTTTCTGTTTGAAATGCAAACTAGCGTACAGATGAACCAACAGCACAGTCATTGATTTTGGATCCATGCCACATGTTATTAATGTGACAGCCTAGTGTGCCCCTGTGATCTGTTCCCCCACCTTCTCTGACATTGGTTTCTCCTTCCAGAGGCATGGCAGGGTTTTTTTGTTTTGTATTGATGGTTTTACTCCTACTAATGTAGCTTGCAGGGAGTACAGAATTCCTGGTTTTGATAAGATATTCTGCTCTTCTGTTTTTAGGACAATGTAGATCAGACTTCGGCTCATGGTCGGCGGGATCTGGTGGAACCAGGTTTCCAAGAACCATCTAACCGTATCTCCCTGAACCACCAAGGTAAGGAATTGTGCCTGGAAATCCAGGCTTCTCAGGCGAGTGCAGGCATGGTTTTGCCTCCATGATGCCATTTCTCCTTCTAACTGGGGATAAAAAGAAAATGTTCTGGATGTCTGGAGAAGGAGAGCTGAAGAAATTTGGTTTTGTCACAACTGTCCTTTGAACTGTGAGTGAAGGTGACGAAGAACTTGAATGCATCTCAAACCTTGTCGCCCAAGATAGGATTACTAGCCTGAGTGACAGAGATATTCTCCTATTTTTATGAGTAGGGAGAAGGGAAGTACTGACATTAAATTCAACATTTGTAATGTTAAGGTTGCATTTTAAAAAAATCTTCAACTGCCATAAGATGGGCTCTGGGTCCATGTCTGGAGTAGGAGAAGAAAAAAAAAAACATATTTACTTGCTTTCCATGACAGAAATCAGCTCATTTGTGAAAAGATAGCCCTGAACTAGACGTTGTAATGTCAGTGTAATAATTTGGTTTCTGTAATTCAGCAGGACCATTCATAAAAAGCTAAAACAAATCTTAAAACCCTGTCTTCACTGATTTTTGTCTGTTCAGAGACCTAAAAGACAACAGTTAATATTATTACAGGGACTGTTCAGCTCAGCTTTATTGTTTTAGGTTTGAAATAATTGATAATCATGTTCTTTTAGCAGTGAGCTCTCTTACCCTCAGGCTTCCTGATGGTTTAATTTGAAACCAAGTCCTTGAAGGTCATCTTCAAATGTTGCTTCCTCAGAGCAACTAATAGTAATGCAGACAGAACAAGACTATTGAAACAAAAAAGATTACAAGCATATTACTTAAAATATTTGCCAAACATGACACGCTTAACTTGTCCTTTAAAAATTCAGCTTTTTTTAGTTTTTCAAGGGCAGCAAGACTCAAATTTCATGACTTGTAGATTCTCAAGACAATTAAACTTGCAAAAACAAGTCCCAGAGTGTAACGAGGTTTGTTTTTTAACTTGCACCCCTTTCCATGCTGTAAGTGTTCTGGTGTTTTTAAAGCTTTGCTTTCAATTGAAACAGGTTGCAATGCAATCCAGTCTAAAACTTACAGCAGCAGAGGCAATGTGTAGTGGCATGTTTGCATGCATAGAACACGTATTATAAGTTCAATTTTTCACGTGTCTTAGAATTAATAATTTTTTAATATTATTTTCACCTATGTCAGGATGTGCAAATCGTGAAACAGATCTATGCATGTGACTTCTGAAGCTATTTGTAAACATCCCCCTTTAATCAGGGGATTTGGGGTAGGGAACACATCCTGTGTGGTCCGGCTCCATGTGTTACAGTGCATGTGTCTGCTGCTTTTGAAGTTGGAACATTCATAGAAGAAATAGATAATACTGTGTTTAGATGGCAGAGCGCCAGCTTTGCAGCCTGACATTTTCCCACTTCCTTTTCAGATCCTTCTTTTCCTCTATCAGTATTGTTGTACTGCAGAAAGGATCCATACAGTGTCACCTGACACGTGGCTCTTTCTCAGCCACTTTGAGACAAATATACAAATTAATTTAGGAAACAGCTGTCTTTAAAGGTAATGGTTTGCCCAGGGGGTACTGGCAATTTGATGCCTATTTCTCAAGAAAGACCCACTTAATGTTTTTCCCCAGTACTTTTTGAAATAAAAGCTGCTTATGCATCCACAATTTGTTTGGAATTTTTCTTCTATATCAGCTGACTGACAGCAGTCGAATCCACTATTTCTGAAAGTTTTCTAATTTTGTTGCTGCAGTAAATACATAGTACAGTATCAATCTTGACACTGTTATTTTAGTGGTCGGGATTAAGAGCTGAAACCTAAATGCTCAAAATGTGGCCTTTAAGCATTGAGCTGGGCTGTAGGAGTTCTGCCTTTTTGCAGTGTTGGAGGGAAGCAAGGTACCTGCTGCTTTGATATTCTCTTGGAAATGGAAGTGGCCATAAGCATGATGTTACGTCGTGTCTTGAGTGTTTGCTCAGTCCAAATAGGAGCATTTACAATCTTCTCGTAGCATATGAAATAAATATTATTGTCCAAGAACTTGAATGTACACGTATTTTTAGAGCTGGCATATATTCTGGAATTCCAGATTAATGAATAGAACATAGAAAAATATAACGTGAAGAACTTCGGCTCAGGGAATTGTGACACAGTCTGAACTAGCTCCCATATAGTCATATTAGTCACAGAATAAATAGAAAGATTAGATTATTATCATGAAATAGATTTTTATATTCTGTGGCCACTATTTGCTTTGTTTTTTCTTACTCTTACACTAAACTTTGTTATTCATTACTTTCTATTAAAACCTTGCTGGCACTGACACTGGTTTAAAGCTTAAAAGAGTAAACCTGTGTCCAGAAGTACTGAAGAACCACTGCAGATTAAAAGTCTGGTGGTATGCCTTGATTATGTTGATGATAAAGATGTTTGCAACAGATGATGGCAATTTTTGCTTCCAGTTATGTGCAACATTACTTGCTGACTTAAGCACATGCCTATAGGAGACCTAAAGCTTCCTGATTGGCATGAGCAGAAATTGTGAAAGGATTAGAATTGGCTAAAATAATTCCTGTGTTAGTTTTTCTCTGCTTTTTTCTCTTTAGTGTATTGTGTGTATTAAAGGTTGCAGCTGAACTTTGAGCAGCCATAGTTGTTGCACAGTTTTATGTATGCACTTGCAATTCACACCTGACCACATTGCTCAGTGAGTGCAGCAGGTTTGCCAATTTCTGTTGAACATTAACTTGTTGTGCTCCTTTGCTTTTCACTGGGAGAGCTTTTGATATAAGCACCTGCAATTCTGAACCAAGACTGCTTTCCACAGCCTATAAAAATGGTGATTAGCTTCTTCCCAGGCATCTGAATCCCCTTAGCACAAACTGGAAAAAGAGCATTCAAGTGGAGACTGAGATAGCCCTGCCAACTGTCCCTGTGTGAATAAGCCCTTTCTTGTGAAGGGTATTTCAAGTACATGTTTCCTGCTGAATCACTGTTTTTACACAAGCAGATGCTTTATAACTCTTCAGCTTCTTCTTTCAAAAGAATATCTTGTAAAGATTGGGGAGCAGAAGATTGTTCTGTTAAGTGAGGAGTCTTTAGAATAGAGGGTTCCATGTGAAACTGATGTGCAAAATTGAGTGCAGATGGAATAGTATTTTTTCCTAGAAATAGTTTAATAACTACTTTTGTGTAGGTATGCTAATAGACTTGCTTACTTTAACAATAAATATTTTTATATCTGAGCCATTATTTAGTTTATCACTTCTCAATGATTCTCCTAATTGGACAAGTTTTGTGAAGTACTAAATGCAAAGAATGTGATCTATGATATCTTTCCTATATTCCCTATAAGCTACTTCATAAATCAAATGTCATAGGAAAGAACAAACTGTTTTGCTGAACAATATTAATATCCACTAATGTAAAAAAGAGATATGCTTCAGATACCTATTAAAAGTAAGCGAAAGTTAAGAACAGCAAGCCAGGATTTGGCATTTAATAACCAGCAAGTCTAAGTATTTCTGGAACAGTCATTCCAGAAGCTGTAGTAAAGCCTCTAGGTTTGAAGAAGAAAAATGTGTCTGAACTATGTGGCTTTTCTGAAAAGGAAAGGAGGTGAAGATACAAGCAAAACAAGTATTTACCATCTTCAAAAACACCAAGAAGAAGTGAAAGCATGCTTACCTGATGACAGGTATTGTTAATTTCAAATTTTTTTCCTTCTCACTATGCAAAAGATTCAGCAGTCACAAATGTTTAAAATTTTAATGTCAAGTTTTCTGCAGTGTGTAACCTATAGTAGTATACTCTGTCCAGTAGTGAGAGGCTAGTAGAGAGAGCTGTGGACCCATAGTAGTGATTGTACTTCCTACCCTTCCATTCACACAGGGATGCTATTTAGAGGCCTTCCATAGGGGTGATAGGCTCCCACATTTGTTCTCCCTTGTCCTGTCCCAAAGGGTGCTGCTGGTTCTCCTCTTTCCCCCAATTACCCTAGCAGTGCAGCTTCTGTTCCTCTTGTCTGCTCTGTGATACTGCTGTGTAATGCCACCAAACTTAATCTTGAATGTGTCTCAGTAGCAAGACAAAGCTATCATATAGATTTCCCTGTGCTACTGTGGAAGAGCTTTGCTGTATGAATTACGATTTCAAAATGCACTATGCTACAGAAAACTCTTAAGCCAAACAGAATTTGCTGACTCTTGGACTTCAGGGGGTTTAACCTGCCCACATGCTGTTTCCCTTCTTGCTCCATAGTTCTGGGATTTTCTTTGTTAATGCATATTTTGGAGCTCATTTTTTCTGTTTGTTTTTCTAGCAGGCAATACTGCCAACTCCAGTCCCAGATGTAAAGTTTATGGGCAATGCTTTTTATTGGTACTTGACATGTACTTTTTGAGATTGCCTAGCTACTTATTATTCAGAATTTTAAAGCCAGGCATAAATAAGGCACATGCTGTCACCTTGCCTTTTAATGGAAGCATAAGACATGCAGTGCTGGCACTTTCTCTATGTATGTACTCATGGGATAATTGTCAGTTTCTGTACAAATGTGTTTTGCCATGGGTCTGTGATGAAAGATTTATCTTCCTTTTATTAGTGCATTCACATGAAGTCTTCCTTTCCCAAGGTGCTCTCAGCTCTTGTTGGACTTGATGCTTTCTATCACTGCAGTTTGCAGACAGAGCTGAGCTGAACCTTATGGTACCTCTGGCACCTCAGCCAGGTGACTCTAGCAGCAGAAAGGAAATGGTGCTAAGGTTGTTTTAGCCAACAGTTGTCCTTTCTCAACAGCCTTTGGTCTTTCTTGGTTGATGATGGTAGGAGTCTTGCCTGTAGTGAGACAATGAATATACTTTGGTTGCAGATTGGGTGGGCATTAGATTTCCTGCTTGTATGTACAGACCACTTGGCTCCCAGTGAAACTGGAAGGATCCAGGGCATCTGCCAAAACTTGCATCATACTGTAGTCAACTCTTGAGGTGGATGCTGTCCTGTA